GTCCTGCCTTAGTCTTTTGTCTTGCTGTCTGTAATTGGGTCTTCTATTCTCTGGGTTGTCCCTAGCAAATCTATGCCGAGTTCTTTCTTCTGACGAAATTAGCTTCTCAACAACCCTCTTGAAGTCTTCATTTGTTCTTGGGTTCTCATTGAAATAGTCCTTGTATTGCCAGTTTGCCCAGATTCCTTCTGCAAAGGCCTCTATCACCTCCCTATCAGAGTAATGTCGTGGACTTGAGCCCTGAATTCTCCAAATCTTCTATAGTATTCCCTTAGACTTTCTCCTCTCCTTTGCTTTACTCCTTTCAATTCGGCTGCAGTCATTGGATGGGTAATAATGCCTGCGAAGTTGTTACAGAAAGCTTCTTGCAAGTCTTCCCAATACCTGATTGATCTTGGCCTCAATTTGTCAAACCATTGTAGCGGCATTGCTTCGAGGGCCATTGGGAAGAATAGAGCCTTGATGTCGTCGTCTCCTCCAGCTAATTCAATAGATTGGGAGTAAACCCTTAGCCATTGTCTTGGTTCGACTTTGCCATCATACTTGGAATGATTTGCTGGTTTAAACTTGTGCGGTAGCTTTAAAGTCTGTAGTCTTCCTGCGAAACAAGGGAATCTGTCGTATGGTTCCGTTCTTTCGTAATCTGGCGATCTTGCCCTTCTATAATAAGACCTATCTTCTTTTAACTCAGACTCTCCGTAGTCATCTTCTTTGTCAAATCTTCTTGATATTTCTTGGTAGCGTTGGCTCAATTCTGTTTTGTCTCTTTCTTGTTGCTTTGAGTAGTGTTCCTTCCTTCCATTGATATCAGCACTTTCTTCTGGTCCTATCCTTTGAAAATTCGATTTTTTGGGTGGCTGCTCCCTTTGTGGCTCCTATGGAACTTCTTCGCCGGGTTGTTTTTCTGATCCCCCGACTTCTTTCTTCTGGTCTTCCTTTGCTTTCTCGTTATTCGTGAGGGTGTACAACTCCTTTGTTAATTCTTCAATTCTTTCCCTTTTTGTATTTTTTGTGGCTTCTTTTTCCGCCTTCTTTCTGTTGTATTCTGTTAGCTCCGCTTTGTATTTATTCCAGACTTGCTTCCTTTGTTTAGCCCGGTTCCTCCTTCCAGCTTTCAATTTGTTCTTCTTTAGCCTTGCTAGTCTTTGCTTATCATTTTCGTTGCTGTCGCTTTTCTCATCTGGCGAGATGTTGCCTTCTAATTCGTCTAAAGATTTTATATCTGGTATCTGTGGTGGTTCCAAAGGTTGTTCTAACTGCTCTGCCATGTATACAGTATACCTCTTCCGAGCTCTTCTTGTACGGTATTCCATCCTTCGTTTAGTTGAGCTGTTTGTAGCTTCTGAGCTGGATCCGAGTTCTTTTCCCTCTTGATAAGGTAGTTCTTCAACGCGCGTGCCAGTCTGGACTTTGCTTGAGGTGAAAGAACCTAGCCAATGCACCACACAATCTTGCGGGGTCACTGTCATGATCATCCCTTCTTGTGCTCCCTCCAGGAGTATTCTTCTTGCTGAGTTCATCTTGTTTTGGGTAAAGTGTTGATAGACTGATGCCGCGTTGCGCAGTCCGTAAATTCCCAAGTTCTTCTTTGAGTTGTACGGGTCGTATCCCTTCGCGATCGTTGTTGTGTCTTCGAGTCCAATTAGGCTTGGCTCTTGTGCCGTGAAGATTGTCTTGGAATCGGGTTGTATCTCTTTTTCAGAGTCGGTTTCGTATCCGCTTTCTTCCTTATTCCGAGTTGTATCCGAAGTTGAGAGTTTCGTCATCTTCTCGGTGAGTTTGTATTGAACTTCGTCATCGAATTCTTTTGCTTCTCGGAGACAGGTACGAAGCTTGCCGTCGCCGTCAGCCTTGCAGATCCAGGATCCGAAGACAAAGGTTGTTCCCACCGAAAAGGTCATCTTGAGGTTGAGGTCCGCCGAACTCTCGAGAAAAAATTCGTCGAAAGCCCCTACCTGGCGCGCCAGCTGTCGATGTTTTATCACCGATAGCCTACCACGGGGGTACCCGGGACAGTTGTTCAGGCTTCAGCGAATAGCGGAATTCAGCGGTTTACGCAAAGAGACTCACGATTTATACTGGTCCAGGCCCTCGACTTGGTCGAGTAATAACCTTACATCCAGTTTTGGCGTTAGCCTGTTTGCGTTGTATTGCTTTGAGTATCGGGTATGCGTTCTCTCCTTACAATGGGTACCCTCACCAGCCCTTTATAGTCCAGGCGCTGAGAGGCATTGTTTGTGTCCTATTCGGATACAAGGTCAGAGTCCTAAGCTACGCTTCGGGCGCCTTTCCTTGTATAGTTTGTGTTGGAGTTTTGGTTTTGCACGTTGCTTTGCTTCACGTTCTTCTTGGTGATTGGGCTGTAGGCCTTGTTACCAAGGTCTACCTCCCTGCAGTATGTTCCATGGGGGCCTGTAGGGTTCCCCATCGACAGAAGTGTACATATTTCGAAGGGAGTACTTAGTGCAGGTACAGTGAAGAGTATAGATGGACTTTTATGATGAGGTGGAGGAAAGAGGAGGAGGAAGAAGAGAAGTTAGATGTAAATTTACAACCAACTTATACACAAAACTTTATGAGGAGAAACAAGTGGTCATAGGTGAGTTCACTATTATATGACTAGACTAATAAGTAACTTATACATACAAAATACTTTGTTATTAGCCTTGCTCTCCTAAGATCGGATTTTTTTTTTTTTGCTTTGGACAAATATAAATTGACTTGCAATTATTTCTTGTTTGTTCTCCGAAATGACTAGTTTTCCATGTTAGAATAATATTGCCATCATGCCACGTCAGAAACACAAACTAACCTAGAGTATTTCCTCAATATTACTAAGGCACGTTGTACAAAAATTCATACCAAACCTCAATTTATAGGGTAGACACATTGTTAGTTTTGCTAGCTTTCCCTCTCTCTTCCCCTGTGATTTGGACGCAATATATCACAAAAGTAGTTCAAATACTTTAGAGTGCAGTTTATCCACAAATCGGAAAAAGCTCCAAGACATTCTACATATCAATCCTCTCATAAGTCACACCAATCATCTTCATCCATAAAAGAAGTCTCCAAACCCTCTTTACAGAGGAGAGGGTACGATTGATCAACCAGCCACCAGGTATTACATGAAAAACTCGTTTGTGGCATAAATAAAAGCGCTGGCGGAGCTACCCTAGGGACGTGGTCGGGCGGCCGCCCCAGCTACTGGCGTGGCCGCCATAGACCCCAAGAGCCCCACTTCTTCCTTAGCTCCGGCCTGCTGAGTTCCTGACCGAGACTCCGAGAGGTTCTTCGGCCGCGACATGGAGGAGCGAGCGGCGATACGAGATAGAAGAAGATGACGATGGTTGGGCCTTTTTTTTATTACTTTGTTCAGCCCAGCAGCAGCGCACTGATAGCCCAACAATTTCCCAATCGAAGGCTCAGTTCCTCAGATCGGTAATCCCCAACCCCAATCGGCCAACTCCCGACCCCAATCCGCATCGAGGCATAGGGCTAACAGTTGCGCACGCAAGCTGCCGCCCGCCACCAGGGCGCCGGCCGCGGAGCCACCACCGCCGCCAGAAAGGAGGGCAGCCGAGCGTCCGAGCAGGCGCGTGAGGCCACAACCGTCCCGCGTGGCGCGAGCAGAGCGGCCAGCTGGAGCGGATTTGACAGAAGGTTGTGGCCTGTGGGCGAGCGGCGAGCCGGTCATGGAGTGAGGGAGAAGAAGCACAAGGTACATACCTGAATGAATACACGCATCTTTTTATTTAAATGAATGTTTTTTATAGCAATTCTAAAAATCTCAACTAATGTGCCACTAGAGGCTAGCACATGATAAACCGATGTCTAATAAAAGTCAAATGACTTCTGAATTTGAAGTCTGAATAATTGTATTCACCTACTAGAGAAAGCGCTGGTTTTGGGTAAGCACGATTGATGGTTGTGTGGTGCCCTCCATAAGCATTATTTTGTTTGGTGCTTCTGATTAGCACTAGGTTGATGTCCGTGCGTGGCTACGGGACAAGTAAACTTTACAGTATTATTATCTTATCATACGATGCAATCTGCGTGTTTTTAATATAAAAGTTCACGGGCAGTTCAGACGACGACATGACATGCGGACGTGCCTGCCTGCCACCGCCTGCCTTTGTGGGCTGTGTGTCGGGTACAGAAAAAAAATTCCTTTCTTTACGGTTACATGCAGCATGCAGGGCATCACAACTCCCTCTCATGCAGCCTTCTTTTACGGACGAGAGCCCGGCGTCCAGATTCGACGGATCAGCTTTTTACAGTTATTGTGTGCATGCAGGTGCGGGCGGGCGGGCGGGAGGCGGGGATCGCAGGGGAGAGGCACGTACAGGATTTTTTATCGCACGCTCGTCAACGATTCTCTTATAGATTTTTTAGTTGTAGAGACGTAGCTTGTGCATAGAGTTCGCCCCAGCTTAAAAAAAATTCTGGTTCCGTCATTGAATAAAAGGAACCTAATTATCACAAACTGTTACTGCTTTAAAAAATACTTCAACCAAATAATAATCGGTCAAATCCATTAATGTAGAAATGATGATGCATTACATACTACTCAAACCACCAACTTTTTTTTTAAATGATGATTATCTGCTTGATCCTCTATATCAGCAGTCACAATCCTAATAAAAAGCTCCAAAAACCTTCCAAAGCTCCTAAAAATACTTCATAAAGATAACAGAGCTGGATGTATCAAACTTAGCGGTAGAACTTTAGAAACAATCTTTAGCCAAATAATTTCAAAATTCATTTTAGTCCTAAAATGATGTTCCATTACTCACTCATCATGTCTCTCCTAATCTATTTTTTATTATTTTATTATAAAAACCCAGAGACATTCTCCATCTTGCTTCATCCACTGCAACTACAAAGCCCCAAAACCCTCTCTAAAGCACTGCACAAGGGCCCTACCTGCTTTCCCACCCAGCCGCCATTATCACTATCACCTGACCACCTCACTCTCAATCTCACTCCCCTCCACTCCTCCAATGGAGCTTATTCTCCCCTTCCTCCTCCTTGCACTCCTTGCAAGCCTCTCGCTTGCCCATGCCAATGGCGACGGCGGCAACACGACGACGTACATCGTGTTCATGGACCCGGCGCGCATGCCTGCCGTGCACCGGACACCGGCGCACTGGCACGCGGCGCACCTCGAGTCCCTGTCCGTCGACCCGGCCCGCCACTTGCTGTACTCCTACTCCGCCTCCACGCACGGATTCGCGGCGGCGCTGCTACCGAGCCATTTGCCCCTGCTCCGCGGCAGCCCCGAGGTGCTCCAGGTCGTGCCGGACGAGGTGTTCCAGCTCCAGACCACGCGCTCCCTGGAGTTCTTGGGCTTTCTCACGCCGGCCTACCAGCCCGCCATCGGCAATCTGGAGGCGGCCACACACGACGTGGTCATAGGGGTTCTTGACACCGGCGTATGGACGGAGTCGCCGAGCTTCGCGGGCGGCAACCTGCCGCCACCGCCCGCGCGGTGGAAGGGGGTGTGCGAGGCTGGCGTGGATTTCCCGCCGAGCTTGTGCGGGAGGAAGCTGGTGGGTGCGCGTAGCTTCTCGCGCGGCCTCCGTGCCGCAAACGGCGGCGCAATAGGCGTGGGGAAGAGGATGTTTAGGTCGGCCCGGGACAGGGATGGGCACGGCACGCACACGGCGTCCACGGTGGCCGGTGCGGTGGTGGCGAACGCAAGCCTGCTCGGGTACGCCACGGGGACGGCGTGCGGGATGGCGCCCGGGGCGCGCGTGGCCGCGTACAAGGTGTGCTGGCCGGAGGGGTGCCTCGGCTCCGACATCCTAGCCAGCATTGACGCCGCTGTCGCTGTCCCTCGGCGGCGGCTCAGCGTCGTACTTCCGGGATACCGTAGTGGTGGGCGCCTTTGGCACCGCGGCGGCAGGTGTGTTTGTCTCTTGCTCCGCCGGAAACTCCGGCCCATCCGGCGCCACCGTCTCAAACTCCGCTCCGTGGGTCGCCACCGTCGGCACTGGTTCACTCGACCGAGATTTCCCGGCATACGTCACGCTCCCCACAGGCGCGCGCCTGGCCGTCGTGTCCCTCTACGCTGGGCCTTCTCCCTCCCCACGCCCCGCCATGCTCCCACTACTCTACGGCGGCGGGCGTGACAACGCCAGCAAGCTCTGCCTCTCTGGGACGCTCGACCCGGCCGCCGTGCGCGGCAAAATAGTTCTCTGCGACCGCGGCGTCAACGCGCGCGTGGAGAAGGACGCCAGCGCCGGCATGATATTGTCCAACACGGCGGCCAGCGGAGAGGAGCTCGTGGCGGATAGCCACCTGCTCCCCGCGGTTGCGGTGGGGCGGATGGTGGGTGATAAGATACGGGAGTACGCGGCGCGCGGCGGCGGCAGGCCCATGGCAATGCTGAGCTTCGGCGGCACGGTTCTTGGCGTCCGGCCGTCTCCAGTCGTGGTGGCGTTCAGCTCCCGCGGCCCCAACACCGTCATGCCGGAGATGTTGAAGCCGGACATGATCGGCCCGGGGGTAAACATCCTGGCCGCTTGGACCGGTGTCGCTGGACCGACCGGACTCGCCAAAGACAGCCGCCGGACTCACTTCAACATCATCTCAGGTGAGTGCCCCACTGTCCCTACCAAGCTCTTGCATTGTTCAGATTCAAAATTTTGACATCTTGTCTTGTTGCTATCGTCTTTATCAAGCTCTTGCACTGCTCGTGCTCAGTGCTTAGATTCAAAACTGCACATATTGTCATGTTGCTAGCCTTCTTGGAATTACTACTACTGATTTACTGCTCCTACTCCTACACATAGACAACTCAGTTAGTAAAAAGAGATAATACTGGCAAACAGGGCCTTTATCAGATCCAGTCACGCTCATGCTGTTGCAGAAAGGCCGTTTCATCTTAACTTTCATTTGTGTCATAAGAAATCGTATTTGCTTTCACCATCTTTTGTCAGGGTTGCACATGTGATGCTCTGCTAGATATGAACGGCAACAGCAGCAAGGACAAGTTACCTTTTGCTTTTTCCCTTTTTTTTCTTGACAATTCAAAAGGCATGAGGCAAGGGGACACTAGTGATTTGAGTACTCTCCAACTCTATAAACCGGATCTTGCAAAACTGTGGTGGTATTTTCAGTACTAGCTTAGCAAAGGTGTTGTCACTGCTGAAATTTAATCAAATAATTCTGAGAGATCTCAGTTCTCATTGATTTGTATATTTGTTTAATTAGTGTAGAAGTCTCCAATTCTCTCCCACACTTAATTGGATCGATTTCGAACAATATATACTGTATATGTGAATGTTGGGTTATTGATTTATTATCAGCAGATTAATTAGTTTAGTTGAATAGATAATTCTGTTTGCAGAGTGGAATTTCTGCTTCCTGTTGCCATGGCGGTTGAACTAATGAGCTGTTTTCACCATGCTGTGGATCTTTCCTATGAGAAAAGAGACAGATTCCTTATTGTTTAGAATAGTTGATAATATACACAGTAGAATGCAAGGAGAACTGAGCTGTCGAGACTCCATTCAGGCACAGCTCTTGTATTCTAAACTGTTAATTTCTTGTACTATTTATTTTACTCATGCTTATATAGTGAGTTTCGTTCATGCTTGACATTCCTCAGTCCTGAATACATCAGTTTGCTTGCTATACTAGCAGCTGAACTGGGCAATTATCAGTCAAGTATATTTACCAATTGATTACTTCTTCCGGTTCCTGCAGGGACATCGATGTCATGCCCTCACATTAGTGGAGTGGCTGCGCTCATGAAGGCTGCTCACCCTGACTGGAGCCCTGCGGCCATCAAGTTTGCACTAATGACCACCGCATACACCGTCGACAACACAAATTCCTCTCTCCAGGATGCTGCGGACGGTTCACCTGCAAACGCGATTGCTTATGGCGCTGGCCATGTTGACCCGCAGAGGGCGCTTTCTCCGGGCCTCGTGTACAACATCTCTACAAATGACTATGCTGCCTTCCTCTGCTCCCTGAACTACAGCGCTCCGCACATCCAAATGATCATCAAGACGTCCAACGTCTCCTGCCTGAAGAAATTCTGCCCCGGTGACCTCAACTACCCATCCTTCTTGGTGGTGTTCAATCAGAAATCAAAGCGGGTCCAGAGGTTCAGAAGGGAGCTAACCAATGTTGGCCCCGCGACTTCGGTTTACAACGTGAAGGTGATCAGCCCTGAGTCCGTTGCTGTCACGGTGGCACCGGCGAAACTCACGTTCAAGAAGGCGGGGCAGAAGCTCAGGTACCATGTCACCTTTGCGTCCAAGGCTGGGCAAGGCCACGTGAAACCGGATTTCGGGTGGATATCCTGGGTGAACGATGAACACGTCGTTCGCAGCCCGGTCACGGATACATGGAAGATGTGAGGTGAGTAATAAGCTGAGTCTTCCTGGTGTCTAAGTCGTCTAATCATGCTGCTTAGCAGACGAAGGATAGGATAGCTTGATGTAGTTTGCTGATCGCTTCACAAAGAGAATTGGCGTGAAGCTCTCGACTGCAAACCTGTATTTGTTTCTTTCTTCCCTGGGTACCGGGTGTGGGTCGGTCGGTAACTCACCGGACCTCAACTTGGCCTCTCTAGTTTTCAGAAGACCGACATGAAACTTGTGGAATTAACATGTGAGGTTTCCTTTTTTTCTAGCGTTATTATATGTTTTCAGACATGAAGTAACCCTGAATCTGAATGAATCCACCGTTTGGTGTTGCCATATATGCCGGTGTGGTAAACCAGTATTGATTATTCCGTAGTGAATGTGACTGGATTTATCTGCTACCTTGTCTTTGGCACTTGGTTTATATTCTCTCAGTAGGGGCTCCTACCCCTCCTGTTCATTCAAAAAAAAAAGGTTGTATTGACTTGGTTTTATGTCTTTGGACGTATTCTGCGGAGTTTATGTTTTAAACTTTTTTAAAAATGAAGATTCAAACGTGTGCATCGCTGAACATGTTAACAGATGTTTCTGCTATTTTTGCCCCGCACCGCACTCCCTAATACTATGAGCTGCTGCTTGCCTGTTTCATGGTACAATGGTGCTAGTGCTATGTGAAGATTCTTGCTCAAAATCCTCCTACCATAGTGAAGACTGAAGACACAACACAGATCCCCGCGTGGTGTGCCATTTGCAGGTACTGAATGAACTGAGTCGATCTGCTTTGTGGGACTGGGACACGGGAAAGAAGAGAAGGCTGCGTGCCTTGTCTCGCCACGCCGCCTTTACGCTTTCGCCCCGGCTGAATTTTTTATTTTTAGCAGTTTTTTCGAAAGATATTTACATTTAGACCACTGGAGGTTTCTTTCTATTTTCTGGACCCTGAGCTCGGCGCCGTAGCAATTGGTGCTGAGATCCATAATTATTTTTTACCTGGCGTTGACGTGACTGCTTGCGTGGCGTGGATGTGGTGCCGCGTCTGGCAGTTGCAGAGAGAGAGCAGAGCAGTCATAGTAAAAGCATCGGAAAAGAGAAACATACATTCTGTCGGTGCGAAATTTGACCAACAAGTAAATATTGGTAGTTTTGTCGTGCGTTTTGATCGGATGTGACCTAACACTCAATGACACAAGATTTATACTGGTTCAGGCAACGTACCCTACGTTCAATTTCAGTCAGTCGGTGACTTTATTCCTAAGCATAAGTGCTTGAAGTTTGTTGTGGGGGTTATAAACGAGTAAGGAATGAGAAGGGAGTGTTAGAGGTCCGATCGGACTTTGAACCGAATGGTAGAGAGTGACGGGTGCTCTAACGTGCGCTAAGTATTGGAGTGTATGCTCTGTATAGCTGTTGAGTTCTAGAGCCGTTGAGCTGTTCGAGTCCTTAGGTCGTCGAGTCGTCGAGTCGTCTAGCGTCTCCCTGTTGGGAGAGAGCGCATCCCCTTTTAGAGGTGAAGGGGATGACCTTACAAGTCAGAGAGAAAGAGAGAGAGAGTTCGTACGTGTGCTACCTAATCTTGTTGCCCACGCTGTCGGATACAAGATGGCTACCAACGCCCACAATACTGTATATGCCCAGACGCGTCTGGCAGGCTCTACTGTGTTCGTCTAGTACGGCAAACTACGGCGCCCACAACATTGTTTATGCACTGACACATCTAGAAGGTTGTAGAGTGTCCGTCTGTCATAGCCTCGTGGCACCGTTCTGCAGGTGCGTAGGGTATGCATGGCAAGGTACGATTCTCGATATTGCGGTTGACTTGAGCGCCTTATTTTATCTGCTCTCGCCTATGCCCTGGGCCCACACCGAGCAGGCGTCCCCGGTCAGTTGCTCCCAATTGGCCCCGACCGTGTCGGTCGGGAAAGAGCAGCGAGCAGAGGTCCGACGTATCCTCGGTCGGAGAAAGGGAGGCAGGCGAGGCGATGCCCATGACCCAGTGGTCGGGCGAGGCGGAGCCCCGACCCAGAGGTCAGGCGAGGCGAAGCCCGTGACCTAGAGGCCGGCCCTTTCTACTCACTCTAAAGGTGCCATGAGTGGTTTTGTCAAACCCATCGGTGGGCCAACCTTCAAACTCCTAGGCCTAGATAGGCCGTAGGACCGTTTTTAGATCTGTATCCCTCTTTCCTGTGACGGGTCGTGGCCTGTTCGGGGAGGTCCTGGTCTGGGGTGCCGGTCAGGAACCAGATCGTGGTCTTGGCATGTTATTGTGTATCTAGGCCGGTCCAGTCGTGTGCTATCGTTGCGCTGCCTGCTGGGCCGAGTTTTGTAAGGAAGCGGGTCCATTGGGGACATCCGGTTTATGAACCCGACACATTCATCGGCTGCAAGCGTCTAGAAAATTTTCTCTGGTGCACGTGTATCAAAGGGAGTTTTTTCACCCTTCCTATTGTGCACGGTGGTATGTAGGAGTAGTGTGTATGTCATGCTTCAACCTTTCTACTGTTTGCTTCAATCTTTCTATTGGTTTTTACCAACAGCAATGTACATGCATTAAAATATAATAACTTACAACAGTGTTATATTAAAGTCTGTTAAGTTAAATCAAATTTATATAAAAAATGTATGAAAGCAAAACTTGAAAAAAATGGATTTGAGTAGGTTTACAGAAAATTATTAATAACATTTATATCTCCAAATAAGTTTCTCGTAAAAAATAGATTCAATGATCTATCTAATAGTTTAACTTAAATACTTAAATACTCCCTCCATTGTATAAAGAATGTAATTCTAGCATAGTATCATGTTTTAGTATCTTCCTAGTAAAAATGCCCGTGTGTTACAGTAGAATAAAATAAACTACTAACACGACCAAGTCTAATAAACAATTAAATAACTTTTGGCAACGAACAAACAATTAGACATAGCTCAAACTAATTCTATGACTGGGCATTTAGTGTACCTCGGTCTCTATAAATTATTTTTAGCAGTTGTTATGGGTGACGGGAGTCTGCGACGTGCGCATCACATGCGTCAGCATCATCACCTTCGGCTCAAAATATCTCTCGTTTTTCTTCTAAAAAATAACTTTGACAAAATGTATATTAAAAATATTAATATTTATAGTATATAATTGGTATTATTGGAAAGATCTTTGAATCTAGTTTTCAATAAATTTATTTGGAGATATAAATATTGCATGTATTTTCTACAAAATTGAGTTGAACTTGCGGCACGAAAAACAAAAGCGACATATTATTTGAGACAGAGGGATTAGTCGAGTGCTTATTGCTCAACCCTGCTTATGCTCACAGCTAGGGCAGGGCATGTGCTGCCGTGCCTGTGCGGGCCACCGTGCACAACAGCAAGCTATCATCGATATGCATGCAGGAGAGAAAATTTTCCACACCATCCACTTGCACACGTTATTTTTTTTAGGCAAAGCACATGATTCCTATGCTCTTTCACTCTCCAGGCGTGCCCTCATGCATGCATGCCCTTGCAGCCACGCTCTCTCTCCTAGCTTTGAATAGATAGGCCCATGGGTATGTCCACTTTACTGCCATATCCTGCATGCAGTTGCCAGATGCTGCAGCTGCAAGTCAGGTTGGCAGCAGGCGAAGTGGTGCCGGGCTCGATGTCAAGATCCACGGTGTCGAGCCGGCGCCACGTCCACGCTACGCAAGCGGCCATGCTAGTGCCACGCAGAAAATAATTTTGAACCTCGGTGTCAATGACTATGACACCAAGATGTGTAATCTCGACGCCAATTGTTATGACGCCGAGCTCAGGTCCAGAAAATAAAAAGAAACATCCAGAGATCTAAATATGAACATCTTTCGAAAAATGGGCTAAGAAATAAAAAAAATCGGTCGCCCTGGCATGTGTGCGTGTACGTGTACGTGTACGCGCCTGCAAAGCACGCGTGCTCCCTACCAGTGCCATCCTCAACGGTACTTCACGGAATGTTTGGGCCTGCTGGATTGATTGCTAAGCGTCCATGCAAGGCTAGCCCAATGGGGTCTGGATTCTCTGCCCCGGTTGGAAGATGGGCCGTGTGTGTTAGGCTAGGAAATGGAATTACCATTTACCACACGAAAGTAGTAAAAAGGAGGGACGTGCAAAATACAAGGTCACCATAGGTCATCTGTTCTCCGGCGGCGCCGTGTACACAAATGGCTCCACAACGGCATCGTCTAGAGCAAGCAGCGACTCCAGGGCGTCTACGACGGCAGACATCTGGGGCCGGGATTTGGGGCTTACACTGAGGCACTGGTGGGCTATCCCCGCGGCCTTGTGGGCTGCTCGGCTGGGCGTGGGGTGCCCGTTCAGCAGCCTCCGGTCCATGACGCGCTCCAGCCGGCGAGAGTCGCGCAGGCATGGGCGCGCCCACTCCACCAGGCTCTGCTCTCGCGGCGGCCGGTTCTTGTCCAACGCCTTCCGCCCGGTGAGCAGCTCCAGGAGCACCACGCCGAAGCTGTACACGTCGCTCTTTGTTGTCAGATGCCCTGTCATGATGTACTCGGGTGCGGCGTAGCCCTGCGTGCCCATCACTCGGGTCGACACGTGGGTCTCGTCTTCTCCAGGCCCAGCCTTGGCTAGCCCGAAATCCGACAGCTTTGCCGTGTAGTCCTGAATGACGATGAACACAACTGATTAGTGAAGCGCTGTGAAGGAAGGAAAACCGCATGAAGCGAATATATACACAGCTTGGTCTTGTGGCCATGCATCTCAAGACATACATACATACCGAGTCCAGCAGGATGTTGGAGGTCTTGAAGTCGCGGTAGATGACGGGTTTGGCAGCTTCGTGGAGGAAGGCCAAACCTTTGGCAGCTCCAATGGCGATCTTCAGTCGCGTCGGCCACGGCAGGGAAGCAGAGTACTCTGTCATTTCCATGAAGAGAGCATTCATTCATGCACCAGATCGCTAGGAATGCTGGCTTTCACCCTTGTCTTGGGATCAATGTAAATTTCAGATCCAACATGTTATAACAGAT